TTTAGACAAAAAATTTGTTGCGTGACAGTATGCAAATCTTGCATCACAGGTCCGCTGTACGCATCTCTGATTGGTTGTTGTGGCAGTAACAGAATGTAACGCACGTGTAAAAAAGCTTTTCTTTGTTTGGATATAAGCGCTAAAACGCTATTTTCCACAGCTACACATTGATACTCTAGTGAAGAAATGCATAATCAAAAGAATCACTGAGGAAAATATATACATATTCTATAAGCAAATTTATGGCAAAGGGAAATGCAAGGCCATGCATGTGTACTTTACAAAAACCCCCCCTCCTCTCCCAGTCTTATACATTGACGGCCATGCACTTCAAGAAGTCTCTGTAGCCAAGCTGTTAGGGGTCATGGTGCAATCTGACCTCAAATGGAACACGCATGTAAACCACATCACCAGTCAAAGCAGCAGACGTCTCTTCCTCCTACGACACCTGAAAAGGTTCAGACTACCAGTGTCTGACCTGGTGACTGTGTACGTAAGCTACGTACGTCCCCTGTGTGAATACGCATGCCCTGTCTGGGGCCCCGGACTGACTTCCACACAGACAACCCAGATAGAGAACATTCAGCACCGGGCATGTCGTATCATACTTGGCAAAGACTACTCCCGGTACCCGGATGCATGCAGTCTCCTAGGTCTACCTTCACTTCAGCAAAGACGTCAACACCTGATCCTGAAGTTCGGACGCGGTCTGATGGAGTCCCCGACATTCAGACAGTGGCTGCCTCCTACTCGAGGAGAGACCAGCGGTAGAGACACTAGATCTAGCTACAAACTGAACACGGTCACTGCCAGAACTGAGAGATTTAAAAACAGTGCAATACCACATATCGTGCGACTACTGAATGGAGACTGAGATTACCATTTTAGTGTCCAAAGACTTTTAATGCAACCTGTACCTGTGTGCAAACCTGACATTTTAAATGAATTATGTTTTAAGTTAAACGTATTTTATATTAATAATAATGACGAATAATGATTTTAATGTAACTTTTTATTAATCAACCAATGATAAATATGTAATTGTCAGAGCAATTCAGGTCCCAATTACACGGGACCTGCCATTCTGTACAAATGAATATGTGACAAATAAACCATTAATATATGGCGTCTTCGGCGAGATTTTGGCATTACATTATCCTGGAAGTATGCCAAAGTCGCCTTTGGTTCACGCTAGCATTTCTACCCAGAAAACAAAGCAAAAACTCATGACAGACTTCTACATAAACAAGGTGTTTGTCCAAAACCGCGCCTCAGGTAGCGCACAGTTCTGGACACACGATAGCCTTGTCCCAAACTGTGCCTGGGCATGGTCTGGGACACTCGGTGCGTGTCCCAAATCACGCCTGGGGACTGAGCACAGTTCGGGACACGCGATGGCCTTGTCCCAAACCGTGCCTGGTACTGCCAATCACTATGATTGACAGCACTTCCGGGCACGGTTCTGCACAGTCAGGCTGTGTCCCGTTCTATGCCCGCCCAGGCACGGTTTGGGACAGGCACAGTTTGGGACACAACAGTCCCCCATCTGAATCAAAGCAGAGATAGGTGGGAGAAGATCGTTAAATTTCTAACACAAAAGGTCCACTGCAGCGTCATAGGGACCCCCCACGAGGCCCGTTTTCGAACTTGAGCTTGGCCTCTACAATGGTAAGCTTGCCTACCAAAAATCATGAACATCTAATTTAAACATACTCAAGTTATTTTGCTAACAAGCCACAAACACAAAAAGTCCACTGCAGTGGTGTACGGACCCCCCACAAAGCCCAAACTTGCACTTGACTTCGGCCTCAACAACAGTAATCTGCCTGCCCAAAATCATGGACGTTGAATCATGCCTTTAAGAGTACACAATACGGCGGGACAATTCCATATATTAGTCTTTCTGACGAAGACAATAACTCCTGCAAAAGAGAACCAAGTGACATTTTCTAGATACCAGCAATTATATTTTTCATCAAAACATTTGTAGATATGTCCGATGTGTCCGCATTTCAGCCGGTCATACATGCACTCGCAAAGATTTTTATCGGGTGGTACGTGGTTGACATGGCCAGTGCTATCGCGATTCGGGCGCCCTAAAATCAGCACCACAGACAATCCAGTTGAGGCCATCCATCACATGATAGTAAATGACAGATGTGACACTGTCCAACCTGTAACAGGTTCATTTGCCTGAATTGTGGCTCAGTTCACAATGTTTTGTTGGACATATTGGAGATGAGAAAGCAGTCTGTAAGGTGGGTGCCTAGAACGTTGTCTGAACATCAGAAGCTAAACAGGCTGGACATTTCAAGGAACGAATTTAGTCCATCAAGGCAATTTACTCAAACGATTTGTAACCCAAGATGAGACATGGGTTCACCACTTTCACCCCAAATCATAACACCAGAGCAAATAATTGATGAAGAACGGTTCCCAGCATCCCAAGCGAGTTTCACCCATTGACAAGGCTTTGGCCTCTGTTTTCTGGGACAGTGAGGGGGTAATCATTATTGACTACCTGCAAAAGGGTCAGACCATCAATGGGGTGTACTGTGCACCAGAATTGTGACAGTTGAGGGCAACAATCACAGAGAAAAGGGTGATTGTTGCCCTCAACTGTCACAATTCTGGTGCACAGTACACCCCATTGATGGTCTGACCCTTTTGCAGGTAGTCAATAATGATTACCCCCTCACTGTCCCAGAAAACAGAGGCCAAAGCCTTGTCAATGGGTGAAACTCGCTTGGGATGCTGGGAACCGTTCTTTTGTCAAAGCTCTGAGTTGACGTGCTAACAATGCACCTGTCCACACAGCACAGGGGTCAGTGGCAGCAGCGAACAAATGTGGCTTTGAAGTCTTACCCCACCCTTCCAATTCACCTGACCTAGCACAGTCGGACTTCTACCTGTTTCCTAAACTGAAGTTCCACTTAGTACATATAATACATGGTCAACGTTTTGATGGTGATGATGGCGTCATTGATGTGCATGGTTTAGGCATTTTTAAGGGCTTCAGACGTAATATTCTTCCACAAGGGAAAGGAAAGCTGGAACATCACTAGAGTAAGTGCATTGAAGTTAGAGGGGACTATGTTAAAAAACAGTGTAAGAAAAATTTTTCTGCCATCATGTTTTTTGGGAGGGGCCGAGAACTTTTGGATCAACCCTCGTATTATCTTTGATATCAGTACTATAACTTGAATAATTTTGATACTCAACATACGTAACATTACATTTGTTAAGAATAAAGTTGATTTGGAGTGATTTGTGGATCACGTGTGTTGTTTATTTTCGCTTGAACTCGAGGTCCATCGTGAATGCATGTGGGGAGGGGGGTACACTTACGCAAACATATCTGCGGGAAAATAGATTTGTGGTACAAAGCTCCCTGCGAATTCCGCAAATCTAAATATACCGCGGAAATTTGTAGACTGACAGTATTTCACAAGAATTATCGTAAAGTGGAACTCGTTGCAACCAAACACAGTTGGGGCATCATCACTAGAAGGCTTTAAGCAACTCAATGTACAAAGCATTGAGTGTAACAAGTTTTTCAGTATGATATAGCTAGCTGCTAAATTAGGTACTTGCAGTTCTTGGCAAAGCCAAGAAAAGTTGATAGTTAACGTGCAGTCAAAACACTAAGGGTAAATGTTGAAGATCTAGTAAATGTTTTCCTACTTTAGGTGAGAGCTGCAGCTGTCTATGCTCTTGGTTGCTTCATTGGGAACTGTTCAGAGAGAACTGACCATGCCAACACCATTGACCAAGGAGTGGGGATGAAGCTCACTGAACTAGCTCAGGATGGAGCTGTCATTGTTAGAAAGGTATGCTCACCATTTCTTGTCCATTGTCTGATTACCTTTGACAAGAAAGTTATGTTTTTAAAGCTATTTGTTTGTCTTTCTGTCTGCCTATGAACAGCTTAACTGCAGAAATTGTTGGTAGATCGTATTGATATTTGGCATGTGAGTACATGTTAGGTGTTGGCAAAATAAAAAAATTGATATGATAGGTTATGGACTTCTAGCACACTCCAGAACTTCCAGTTTGGAACTCTAGTGTTTTGACCTGCTTTGGTCATGATATTTGGATGGCAGATGTAGGACACGTAGCTCTTGACCAAAGTGCAACTTTGGTCAAGAGAGTTGGGCCTCTTAGGAGCTTTTTGGAAGCCATATGATGTCAATAATACAGCAGTTCCCAACGATAGTCAATCTGATAGGTTCAAGGAACAAAGAGATTTAGACCAAACCTACACTCTTCTGACGTTAGGGAACATTGCATCTTGCCAATCATTCCGAGATTGGCAAGTTCCGAGATCTCATACCTCCATGCAATATGGGCTTCACATGTAAATGTAAATTTCTTCTTTAATTGAATTATGCAAATGACTTCTACATTAACATAATATATGCACCGTGATGTTAACTTTTGATTAACTTACACATCTCCCAAGTATGAAATCCCCATCATTTACCACTAAGGCATAATTTTCAGATTAATTATGCAAATTAGGTCCATATTTGCATAATTGATATCTGGTGATATTCCACCTGCCATAGATTATAAACATTACATGTATCAAAGTCCCATGATGCAAAACACTGGAATTACAGAATTTCCTAATTAATTATGCAAATGAAGTCATAATATGCATAATTTGCATCCAATAAATAAATGTAGATCTTTGTCTAAGCTACCCACATACCAAAAATCATACAAATATATTGTTCCTTTGTGAATTTATCTGCTCTGAAAGGTTTCGCCAGTAACCCCCCCCCCCTGCAGTTCCAGAACAAGCTGCTAGGGGGACCAAACCCATATCACTTATTACTGGCAGGAAAAGCTATCCACCACTCAAAAATCAAGACCATAGCATGTCCAGGACAAAACACACACGTGCGCACACATACACACACCTTACATACATTGTACTACACACCAAAAAATGTTTTTCAAATGCTTACATTCCTTCCCATACATGTGTACATCTACCAACAGGAGCTGGTGGTTGCTCTTCATCAGTTGGTGTTGCAGTTTGAGAGCAACTTTGCATCCATCGCATTGCACTTCATCGAAGAGGAGAGACAGAGAGAGCAGAGCCAGGCGGTGCTGGGAGCAGCTGTAACACCGGGTGGGTGGACTGTGGTAGTTGGTGGATCTCCTAGCTCATCAGTGACTTCAGGTACTTCATGTAAAATGGAGTAAAGTCACATAATTCTTTACTTTAGCATAATTCTGCTCAAAGAGTTAAGTTTAGAGGTTATTGCAAGGAAGGCTTCCTCCACATACAATCATTTTGCTCCAAAAAGTTTGGGGACTTACATGTAACTGTTTTCTGACTGTCATTTCTTATCAATTATTCCTTGCATTTCAATTGTGCTGAGTGTATCATATATATCATCAATAAGCTTGTTTATCTCCCTTTATGAGAAGAATGTACTTCTTATGCCTACTTCTTGGCTTTGTCAGGTTGACAAAGACTGTTCTCTCCATATTTTTTACTTCATCTTGTTCATTAAGATCGTGCATTTGTGAGGGCTGACTGTATGAGTGGGGTGCAAAAAAAGTGCTGAGATTTCTCTATTCTGCCAAGCTTGGTATGTAAGTCCCGTAACCGTGAATGGTCGTACATTGTAATGGCATCATGACAGCCAGCAGCATGTCTAGACTTGTCATGATGTTTCTATAGGCTTATAATCTACCAGTCAGTAAAATGAATGACATATTAATGACACTTAGTGTTTTGAGTATCAACATCTGTTACAGCATATCAGTATACATGTAGCAGATAATAGAAGCACCTCTTAAACATTACACTAATTTACAGTGAGAAATTTCACTTCTCTGCAATGTTTGGACAGTGTATCTGGATAAGATGTGGATATAGAATGAACTTCAAGGTTGAATGAAGTTGTGTCATGAACCCTGTCATGATTTCGTTCTCAATTACATGTCACAAGTGTTTCATAGTCCTATTATCGAACAAAGCAGATTTATAGAATTTCCTCATTAATTATGCAAATTAGCTCCTAATATCTGATTATTCAAGCATCACTTCAGCTACCTACATACCAAAAATCATGACAATCCGTCAACCGGTTCTTGAGTTATCATCCTTCGAAAATTTTTCAACAAATGCTCAAGGGGGCCCAAACTCGTGTCACTTCTTCCCTAGCCCAAGAGCTATCGGTCATTTAAAATTCGTGACCCTAGCATGTCCAGATCGCGAGATATCAAAACTGGAAGTTCTGCTGCAGTACCAACAAAAGCCGCCAGAGGGCCCAAAATCTAATCATTTCTAGGTCTCATCAAGACCTACCCACCTACCAAGTTTCAAGACAATGCATAGTAAGCTTCTTGAGTTATGCTGTTCACAGACAGACGGACAAACAGGCAGACAAACAGACAGACGGACAAACACTACTGAAAACATAACCTTCTTGGCGAAGGTAATAACAAAGAGAGTAGTACATGTATGATCATAACAAACAAGGATATGCAGTACATGTAGTTGGTAATTGTGGAATATGGAAATTAGGTTGAGAAAACCACAAAACGTGTCAAGAAAATTATTCAGGAATTTGAATTTGAACAAGATGAGGTGAAGTCTATCAATATCAAAGATACGTTGTATTCAAAATCCAGTGCTTTGTAAATGGGAGAAGGACATTTTGGAAGAAGGACGTTTCAGGACATTTTTTGTACATGTACGGTGGATGTTTTGGCCACATGCCGGGGACCTTTCGGCCTCATTATTTATTGACAATACTTAATTTTCACATTTTCAAAGTTGTGTGTGTGTGTGCGCGCGTGCGTTTGTGTGTGTGTGTACATGTGGAAAAAATGTCTCATTCAGAATCATTTTTTGTAATTAGTCACACAAACTTTATTTGATCTGGCCCTACCCCACGTGACCCAGTCTCACGTGACAGCCTTTTCGGTTTTAGTTTGGCTCCCACAGCCACGTTTTTGGTTGCTCTGCAAAATTCAGCGTTTTTGTCTTCATGGAGCAGTATAGGGACTCTAAGAAGTCGCGTGGGCGATGTTCAGTGTGCAGACGACCTGTCAAGGGACACATCGGTCCGTGTGGACCCGGGAATTGTTTCCTTGAGCAGGCGGAAGGATCGACGTCGTCGGACGAGGAGTTCTATTCACACATGAAGAATGGCCCCCACATGCAGAAGTCTCTCCACAAGTTACGTCAGAAAAGCAAGGTGGCAGACTTCGTGAGAGAAGGTTGGTCTGAAAGCACTTCTGAGGACTCGGAGGCAACGCAGATTCAGCATTCTCAGTCACTGCCGCTCGGTAACCCTCCAGCCGCCAACACAGCCAACAGCACAGCCGCCAGAGGAGGGGTGCGCGCCAAGAGTGAACCACCCCGGCGTGCTTCGCCACAACGTTCAACCAAGACAGGAGAGCCGTCCCGTTCCCGCCAGCGTGACGTTCGTGATCTGCGGGCTGACAAGGAGTTGGTGCGGGAGGTGGATAAGATGCTGGAGGGAATGCTGGTTTCTCTGCCCAGAGTTTCGAGAAAGACTGCGTCTCAAGACAAGCGTGATCCCTCCTCGGGTTCAGAAGGCAGCATCCACAGGAGATCGGATTACACGCATAGCCATGGCCAGCGCCGCCATAGAGAGCACAGGGAGCAGTCTGACAGAAAGTCGCGCAGCAGTACCAGGAACCCGAGAAAGACGGCGAGGGAGTTAGTTGACTCCGACACAAGCCCGCTGTCACGTCCGTCAAAGTCGCGCCACAGTGCGAGGAAACCGAGGAAGAAGATGGCTTATAAACACACATCGAGGGATTTAGTCAACACTAGTCATTTCCTTTTTGTGATACGTTTCATACTCACAAAAAAAACATTTTCTTCCACAAGAATATTAATGGAATAAAACTATAATGCAAGGTTGCCAGTTTACAGACCTAAAGGAAGGTCTATAAAACCATTTTGCTTGGCGAGCACATATTTTTAGATAGCAGCACTTTCGATGAAGATCTCGTTCGATGAAGGGCAAGGGTTTCCACAATCTCCCCATGCTTTCAGCACATATATAGTCACATACTACCAGTAAACAACTGCTGTACATTTCTACAAAGAACACTAAACCCATGCACTCCCCATCAAAAATGAGAATAACCACGGCCTACATTGTATAGTCACCCCCCAATACCTTACATAGAAACATCAAGCAGTGTTCTTAACACTTGAGTCTCTCGTGTTTGTAATTCTGGGGGTATTAATGAGGTTGCACTAGGCTTTCTCCCCCAACACCCCGTATTGAAAAGGAAAATAGTCATATAAGTACATGATGAATAAAGGATGGATACAAACAACATGGGCACTAGTAACTATACTGTAGAACACACACTAAAGTTACTAATAGATATATTTCTGTCTTTGTGACGTTCACTTTGTCTTCTGGACTCTTCCTGTGTAATGCCTTTATCTTACTACAAATGATTAATACAGTTGAAGTTAATTTTGCATGGACTAGCAATCACAATAATCAGTCTATTGCATGGCTTACTGCAGCAGTCTCATCCAGCACCCCGCAGCTGATGTCTCCCCGCAGCAGACTCTGGCTACAGACTAGTTATAGTGACAGCATGTCAGGAAGTTACCCTAGCAGTGGTAAGACGTCCCAAAGTTTGTGTTTCTGTCATGATTGCTTTCAGTTGCTACTTACAATATACAATTGTAGTAGTTCTCAGGGACAAGTTTGGGGTTAGTTCTAAATGAAAACTAATACGTCTGAACTGAAGTGCTAAGAAATGTAGGGAAAAATTCACTAAAAATTCATTAAAAGTTTGGTTTTTTAAAACACCCTTACAAGATATTTCCCATGGCTTGAGAAAAAGCATTCAAGCCATACCCATTTCATTTACTTGGTTCTCGGATTTGCCTACTTCTTATTTTTTCCGATTTGCCAAAAAAAAAATTTACAGACTCTGCCTCAACTCTAAAATGCTCATGTTTTGGCCAGAACAGTTGAACAAAGTCCCCCTTCTCTTCAGGGTTGTTACAGTTTTCCCATCCATAAAATCAGTCTGCTTTAGTGTAGGAGACTGTGGATTTAGTGGCATAACTCTTCAAGGCATAGATTGATGTTCAGGCAGGTTACCGTTGGGGAGACCAATGTCAAGTGCAAAAATGGGCTTCATGGGGGGTCCCTACGTCACTGCAGTGGACCTTTTTTGTTTCTTGCTTGTTAGCAGGATAACTCAAGTATATTTAAATGGATGTTCATGATTTATATTGTAACATCTACTGGTTCTTAAGCTATCTATCCTATTTTGAATATAGCGTCCTTGCAGTTCCAGAGCAAGCCGCTAGGGGGACCAAACTTATTCTTCCCCAGAACAAGAACTACCTATCATCCAAATTTCATGACCCAAGCCAGAAGGTCAGCTGCAGTACCATAAGAAGCCACTAGGCAGTCCAAAATCTAATCATTTTGAGGTTTCAGCAAGAAGTACCCACCTACCAAATATCAAGTTAATCCATCAAAGCCTTCTCAAGTTATCATGTTTACAGACACACACACACGAACGCCACTGAAAACATAACCTTCTTGGCAAAGGTAACAAGAGTTCCGAGATCTCATACCTCCATGAAATATGGGCTTGATATGTAAATGTGAATTTCTTCTTTAATTACGCAAATGACCTCTGCATTAACATAATATATGCATCGTGATGTTAACTTTTGATTAACTTAAAGATGTCCCAAGTATGACATTCCCATCATTCACCATTGAAAAATCATAGATTTTTTGCATTAATTATGCAAATTAGGTGATCATTTGCATAATTAGTATCTGTTGGTGTTCCATCTGCCATAGGTTACATGCATTACATGGTATGAAAAGTTCTATAATGTAAAACACTGTAATTATAGAATTTCCTCATTAATCATGCAAATAAAGTCCTCATTTGCATAATTTGCAGTTAATT